CTGAGCCACCCACGCACCCCCAAACTTGTAGTTGTAAAATAAGTCATGGGGATGAAATGTATAATATGGTGACTATAGTTAATAATACTGCATTGTATTTTTGAGAGAATAAACTTAAACATTCTCATCACAAGAAAAAAATTTTTGTAACTACATATGGTGATGGATGCTAGCTAATCTCACCATAGTAATCATTTTGCAATATATACAGATATTGAATCACTGTGTTTCACTCCTGAAATTGACATGATATGTATCAATTATACCTCAATAAAAACAAATTTTTAAAAAAGAGAGCAAAGCTAGCACCTAGGGTGTGATTGGTCCAGACAATATGTAACTCAAAGAGCAAAGAGGCTGGGTCCAACAGAGCAACTGTCTGAAGCAAAAATATGAGCAAAGGAAATGCTTATGCATGTTTATGGTAGACAGTATCTTGTTCGCCATTATTCACTACCCTCTCCCTTCTAATAGGATGACCGAACGTTGCTATGTGACTTGCCATTTCTCCTGCAGGGAGAGTATACCTCTCCACCTCATTGGCATTGGGCTTGACCCAATATTAATTAATAATATTTTGGTCACTGGAATGTAAGCACACATAACATATGTCACAGCTGAGCAGAAGCTTTATGAAAAAGCATCAGGAGCTACTTCCAGGGTTTTTGATCTTTCCCTCTGCCATAAGAATGGGAGTGTCCCATATAGGTACTTCCCCTTTAATCTGAGTCCCAGAATGAGAAGACACTTTGAACAGAGCCAAAGCTGGCCATAGGCTACATGCCCCATAAATGAGCAATAAAAGTTTTGGTGTTGTAAGTCTGTAAGATTTTCTTATTATAGAAGAGTTGACTAATACAGAAACACTACCTAGATGTAGGGTGCTGCTCTATAACCCCGTCTTTAGCATCAGATAATGGGTGGCATGGAAACTGTTATGCAGAGCTAGAAAAATGGTGATCCTTATTATGTAGGGATCAGGTATTTGGTGAATGAAATTGCCACCTGCAATTACTTGAACGACAGGTAATAAACAATAAATTTATGGCTTTGGGTGAAGAGAAACAAATGGTTGTACAAATAAAATACACTGAAAATGAGAGATCTAGTCTAATCTCCCAAATTTTATAAATAGTGCCCTTTTCTGCATCCCTTCCTGTGCCTTCTTAGTGCCTGTCATCAGCTCTTGTGCCCTCATGCAACACCCCACCCCCATGGTGGTGCCCCACTCCCACCTGCCTCTACTACCATAAGATACTGTGCTTAAATGAGTCTCCACTTTGTGGAGAATGAGGAATTCAGGCTAAAGAATTGCATGAAATTGTGATTTTGAACTCACTAGTTGATGATAATGATCACTGAGTGAAAAATATAAAGAAGAAAATTTGATTCTTAATTCTTCCCCATGTTAATATTTTAGAAGAATGTGATGATGAGGAAGAATAAGCAAATACTCTCAAAATCATGCTGTATTATATACAACTTCCCGTGGGACACAAGGGTTCAATTTAAAAAATTACTCTTCTTGAAAACTAAATAGTATGTTGTTTTCCACAAGAACCACTGACTAGAGGTTTTCATCTGGAAAGAACTTCACTCACTAGTATAAAAAATTTAAGGGGCACCTGGATGGCTCAGTGGGTTAAGTATCTGCCTTCAGCTAAGGTCATGACCTCAGGGTCCTGGGATCCAGTGCTTCCTGGGATCATGCCCTACATCAGGCTCTCTGCTCATCAGGGAGCCTGCTTCCCGCCCCTCCTCTGCCTGCCTCTCTGCCTACTTGTGATCTCTGTCTGTCAAATAAATAAATAAAGTCTTTTAAAAATTTAAGAACACAGCAACAAACAATGTTCCCTGCTTTCTGAACAGTTCCCTCTGTTCCTTTTGAAACACACAAGTAATTGCCAAGTTAACTGATCTCACATTTTTACTTTAATTAAATGACACAACATTTAATTCCTCCAGATCCCTATCAAGATATATTTTAGAATTGCCTATGGTAAAAGCGGTAAGTCTTATATAATCATCCCACTGTCTGTAATACTTTTCAAATATATTTTTATTGATATGCAATCAGCATACCAATTCCTTTCTACCAAAGTTTCCCGGTTCCTGTTAATGGTCCTATAAAACAAAGATACTACTTCTTCCAGATTTCATAAACATAGCAATCTGTTCTCTGATTAATGTGAACCTTTTTTCTATTGAATCTTTAATTCAAGTTTAGGAGACAACAGACTTCAGTAACTTGACAACCTTAGATGGTTGTAAAGTTCACTATTCTTTCCTTTGCTCTCAACCAAATTTAGGTTGGAGAGTACCTAGAGAGTAATCCCTTGGAGATTTCCTGTTATTGTAAGGAGGTGTGTTGCACAGACACAGTTCCTGTTTCAGTTAGGGTTCGACCAGGGATGCAGAACCACTGTGAGAGATGTGAATAAGGGAGTTACCAAAGGAGACCTTACACAATTTGGGGAGAAGCTGAGAAATACAGGTCCAGAAGCAAGAACCTAAAGGATCAAAGTCACTAAGACCACAAAGGAGATCTGGTGAAGCCTATGGAAGGCTGTTGGCTGTGCATTTGGTGATGGGTCTAAAGTTACTGTAGGGCAGACAGTCAGGAAGGAGAGCTGGGAGCAAAGTAGGCAGAGTAAGGACAAACCTGTGAGAACAAACTGGTACCATTTTGTCTATTTCTCATTCCAAACCTTTATTATGTGGTTGGCCCAAGACTCAAATTGAAAGAGATCTGGTATAAGTTGGAGAGGCTGAGGGCCCAGCTGCTGCCCCACCACATGAAGGCTCCTATCAACAGATTAGTGACAAGTCTGAGTTGCACCCAGGGCCCTGCACTGACCTTACAAATGTTAAGGCCTTTGCCTAACTCCACTGCTCTCTAAACCTCAGGCAGATTTCTCATGTGACGAGTCCTAACCAAGAACCATACGGAGAAGAGAAGTCTGGCAAACACAGTTGACACAAGGTAAATTACACAGTGCCCAGAAGTCCCTTCATGTAAATTGACCCTAAGATGGATTTAAGCCTCTCAGAGATCACATATATTCATTTAATAATAAAGCCTATCATAGTACAGAATCTTAATTACTGCATTTATTTGCAAAATTTGCTCCAAACTTTTTTTTAACTACCAGCAAAGAGGTATTTATTTTGCTGTTACTAAGTTAAACATAAATGTAAAGCAACATTCAACATCTTATCAGTTTGATTTTTTAAATGGAAGAAATCTACTTAATGCTTCTCTATTTCCACCCAACTGCCCTTTACCATCCCAGCTCTCCTCACACTATCTTCTTTCTGCTTCTGCTGTGTCAAAAAGTATTTAAACTCCAAACCTAAAGCCTTCCTTCTTGCTCCTCCATGCAATGTGGCCTTTTGTCAAAGCCACCAAGTCCATCTGTCAGAGTTGTGTAAATCTGAGCTATAATTACAAATATGAATTAAGTTCAACTTCTTTCTTACAGAGTTCTCTGTCCAGTGTAAATTAAAATATGAGCTATGTTACCAAATTTTATATCCTTGTCAACCCAACTCAGCTGAGACTGGTAATATCCCTAATACACTCTTGGAGTCCCTACAGATATCTCTGCTCTCATCAAAGCATTTCTCCTAGGAGAGTAGCAAGCTCAGCTTCATCTGAATTTGGTCTCCAGGGACACGCTCTTCTATTCAGTAGCGGCACTGAGCTTCCACTTGCCAGAAGCATTAAAATTGAGTCAAAGCACTTGGTTGACATAATAGAACCTTCTGGAAATCACAGCTTTTTCAACCATGTACCCCTCACTTTGGAATTTTGGTTAGGGTAACTTCCCAGTAGTAATGTTTGCTAATAAGTTAACTAACATATTATCCCCATGACATGGTTTAAAGTCACCAGGAATTAGGGCGGAAGATCCAAATGCTGGTTCTGGCACAAGTCTCAGTGAGAAGGTAAAATCTACATTATAGGGGTGTATTGTGAATTGCCAGTTAAATAATAGACATCATATTCTCACCCATAATGACCCCTGACTAGTCCATTACCCACCTCCTTGGTAAGGAAATACCTTCTCTTTCTTGCACTGGGCCATATATTTGGGTAATGGAGTGCTTGTAGGACTTCGGGGTCATTTCAGGGGCCACCTCACACCACACAGAGCCACTATTCCCTTCCCCACAGGCCCTGCGATGGACCTGCTCTGCCATGTCTCATAGCCACTTATTGTGAGGTGGGAGGTCTTTCCACATCAATGGTAAAGGCTATTTTTTTTCTTCTCCCCCTTTTACAGGGTACATGGTATCCATCCATGTAGTCCAGCCTTACATTACCCAGGATTAGAAAGGTACCATAAAAAGATTAATGCAAAAATATTATATCTTATGTGACATAAATTCTTATTAACATAGGACATGCTTTTCTCCTTCTCTCTAGGTTTTATTTCATGTCACTTGTGGTCAGCAATTTGCTTTTCATTCCAATCATACTCCTAAGGTAAGATCAATTATTTGACATCACTTTCCTGACCTTTTTTTTTAAAGTTACTTGTAATAAAGTTAAAACTACAAATATAATAAAGTTATAAAAAAAGACACATAACCAAATATAGCTTAATGAAAACTAAAGCTAATGTCTGCTATATTTACATATAGATTACAGAGAAATAAATACATAGAAATTATTTCCATCATCAATAGCGGTTGCTAGGTTTAGAAAATATTTTGTGCATGTAGGGATTACTGAAGCACAAAAGATTTGTTTTCTTCCCTCTCTCCTCAATGCTGACCTTATTCACATCCCTAGTGAGCAGACAAAAGTCAATTCAGACTCGGAAAGGCATTGATCAGTAGATTACACACAATAAAAAATTTCAACTTTTATTTTTAAATGTTAAATTTACTACAGGCTGATCAAGAAAAATTAAAATGACTTCTTTAAACATGCAATATTTAAAATTGGAACATTTTGGCTTATAACTAATATTTTTCTAAGTTGCAAAAGCATTTCATGAAGATGTTGCCTGTTTCAAATATTGAATAAGATCTTCTCTCTCACTCTTCTTTTTAAGACCAGCAAAGACCATTTTAGTTCCAGGGATATATTTCTTTGGGTTCTCCAAATATTCCATCAGAGTTTCCTCTCCCCAGATAACACCTATAAAGGTGAAAATAAGTTTTAAGTTTGTGTAGTTATATTTGTAAGGCTTACTTTCTGATGTGACCTATGTATGTGAACAAAAGATTACTCTTGGATTCAAAAGGAAGACTCATTATTGGGAATACTTACAATTTCTGACCTATAAGGGAATTCCAAAATTAGTCTTTGGTGCTCTACTCTTCCAGTTCCCTATAGAAATCTAATATCCACATGCTGTTCAGTATGACACAAAGTACACCAATAAACTGCCAACCTAGACATGTTGGACCTAAACAGTACCCCATCCTCCTACAATCACAGAGTTCCTTCTAGAAGAGATCTTAGAAGTTAATCCAACCCCTCATTTTTCAGATGAGTAAATGATCCAAACAGAGGAGAATAATGTGCCCTAAGAGAAAAGATGACTTAAAGTCAAGAATCTGTGACTGCTAACTCATATTTTCATGTTTTTTCTTCCAATAATTGTGTATTGCCTCTGTCCAAATCTCTGTCAAAAAGCTATGATTTCAGGAAACCAGTTTTACAATGAGGGAAAGGCTGTCTCTTCCTTTTTTCCTTTCTAAAACCAGACAAAAAGAATATGGACAAAGAGAAACAAATACTAACTCCACCTTTGATCAAATACTGAGGGAGCACCTATTACTTCAAACTTCATATGATCAGAAGACTACCAAAAACATAAAACCTGGACCAGAGTAAGAGGACACCTGTCACTAATGATCTCAAAAGAAGAAGAGTTCTCCAAAGTAGGTGATAAATTGTAAGGGGCAAATCATATTCCTCTGGCCCAAAAAGAGTATAGTGTATATGAGCTGACTGTGAAAGTCTCCCTAAATTCAATTTGACAGTATGGAGGGTCAGGGGAGCCAGAATTAAAGAAGAAACACAGACATGCCACTTTAAAAGAAGCATTCTACCTTTTGATTTTCATTTGCATGGAATATCTTTTTCCATCCCTCTACTTTCAGTCTGTGTATGCCCTTACATCTGAAGTGAGTCTCCTGTAGGCAGCATATAAATAGGTCTTGATTTTTTTTATTCATTCAGTCACCCTATTGTGGGTGCCTTTTAGACCGCTCAGCCATCCTGACGGCTGTGGGTGCCTTTTATTTTTTTATTTTTTTATTTTTTTTTAATTTATTTATTTGAGAGACAGAGAGAGAGCATGAGAGGGGAGGTCAGAGGGAGAAGCAGACTCCCCACGGAGCTGGGAGCCCGATATGGGACTCGATCCCAGGACTCCGGGATCATGACCTGAGCCGAAGGCAGTTGCTTAACCAACTGAGCCACCCAGGCACCCTGTGGGTGCCTTTTAAATGGAGCATTTAGTCCATTTATATTTAAAGTAATTACTGACAGGTAATTACTTATGGCCATTTTGTTAACTGTTTTCTGATTGTTTTTGTAAGTCTCTTCTATTCCTTCCTTCTCTTGCTCTCTTCCCTAGTAGTAAGATGGCTTTCTTTAGTGTTACACTCAGGTTCCTTTCTCTTTATTATTTTGTATAGCTATTATAGGTTTTTGATTTGTGGTTACCTTTAAATTCATACATAACAACTTATGTGCATAGCGACCTATATAAAGTTGATGGTTCCTTAAGTTTAAACACTCTAAAAGTGCTGCTCTGCGCACCTGCCTGCTCTACATTTTCATAGGTCTTCCTTCAGTGGTAAGCCTGTTGGAGCTGCTTCTGAATTTGTTTAATGATAACTTACTTTTAGGCTTTAAACTCTCTAGCTATAAACAATGAGTTACTTGGTACTTCTCCTTTTACAATTAAGTTGCATGTTTTATTAAAAGTATACACAATAACAATCAATATTGAAAGTCTTAATATAAAACCACAGTTAACAAATCATTAAGTATTTAAAGGAAAACTTACTATATACTATAAAACCATAACTAGTAAAATATTAGTATTCGAGCAGAGTATCAGAATTTTTACTAAATTTTTACTAAATTTTTACTCCCCCCTCCATGTTTTATGTATACAATGTCATATTTTATCTTTTTATTTTGTGTATCCCTTGGCTAGATGTAGATGTAACTGACTTTACTACATTTGAGTTTTAACCTCCATACCAGACTTAAAAGTGATTAATCTACTGCATTAACTATAAGGCAAAGGAAACAAAAGCGAAAATGAACTTTTGGGACCACATCAAGATAAAAGCTTCTGCACAGCAAAGGAAACAGCCAACAAAACAAAGAGGCAGCCCATGGAATGGGAGAAGATATTTGCAAATGACACTACAGACAAAGGGCTGATATCCAAGATCTATAAAGAACTCCTCAAACTCGACACACACAAAACAGATAATCATGTCAAAAAATGGGCAGAAGACATGAACAGACACTTGTCCAAAGAAGACATACAAATGGCTAACAGACACATGAAAAAATGTTCATCATCATTAGCCATCAGGAAGATTCAAATCAAAACCATATTGAGATAACACCTTACACCATTTAGAATGGCCAAAATTAACAAGACAGTAAAGAACAAGTGCTGGGGAGGATGTGGAGAAAGGGGAACCCTCTTACACTGTTGGTGGGGATGTAAGTTGGTGCAGCCACTTTGGAAAACAGTATGAAGATTCCTTAAGAAATTAAAAATAGAGCTTCCCTATGACCCTGCAATTGCACTACTGGGTATTTACCCCAAAGATACAGATGTAGTGAAAAGAAGGGCCATCTGTATACCAATGTTCATAGCAGAAATGACCACAGTCACCAAACTGTGGAAAGAACCAAGATGCCCTTCAACAGATGAATGGATAAAGAAGATATGGTCCATAGATACAATGGAGTATTATGCCTCCATCAGAAAGGCAAACACCCAAATTTGTATCAACATGGACGGGACTGGAAGAGATTATGCTGAGTGAAATAAGTCAAGCAGAGAGAGTCAATTATCATATGGTTTCACTTACTTGTGGAGCATAAGGAATAAGATGGAGGACATTGGGAGAAGGAGATGAGAAGTGAGTTGGGGGAAATTGGAGGGGGAGACAAACCATAAGAGACTGGACTCTGAGAAACAAACTGAAGGTTTTGGAGGGGAGGGGAGTCAGGTGGTGGGTGAGCCTGGTGGTGGGTATTATGGAGGGCATGTGTTGCATGGGGCACTGGGTGTGGTGCATAAACAATGAATTTTGGAATACTGAAAAAAATAAAATAAAATAAAATAAAATAACTATATTTCCTTTTAACTGTGAAATTTTTTCCTTTCATAATTTTCTTACTTTTAGTTATGGCCTTTGATATTTTTTTATAAAGCTGGTTTTTGTTTGGGAAATTCTATCTCTCCTTCTGAATGATAACTTTTCTGGGCAGAATATTCTTGGTTGTAGGTTTTTTCCTTTCAGCACATTGAATACATTGAATACACTTCTGGTCTGCAAAATTTCTCCTAAGAAAACAGCTGATAACCTTATGGCATTTCCCATATACATAACTTTTCTTTTTTTCTTGCTGCTTTTTAAAAAAAATCTCTTTATCAGTACTTTTTGCCATTTCAGTTATTATGTGTCTGGGTGTGGACCTCCTTGGGTTCATCTTGTTAGGGTCTTCTGTGCTTCCTGGATCTGAATGTCTGTTTCCTTCCCCAGATTGGGGAGGTTTTCAGCTATTATCTCTTCAAATAAGTTTTCTGCCCCCTTTCTCTCTCCTCTTTCTGGAATCCCTACATAGCAAATGTTATGATGCTTGATGATGTCACAGAGATCCCTTTACCTATTCTCATTTTTTGTTTTTCCTTTCATCTTTTTGCTGTTCAGCTTCATGGCTTTCCATTATTCTGTCTTCCAGATCACTGTTAGTTCCTCTGCCTCTTCTAATATGCTCTTGATTTCCTCCAGTGTATTTTTTATTTCAATTGTTAAATTCTTCACCTCTGATTGATTCTTTTATATTTTATATCTTTGTTGAAGTTGAGGCTACTAAAGTTAAGTCCCATCTATTTTCAAAGCCAGATGTTGTGGGGATTTGTCTTCCAGTTTGAGTCTCTTGTGCCAGGGTTGCCTGGTATGAATTCTGATCCTCTTGCTTCTCTGTGCTTGTGATGTTCCTCCTATTGTGTGATGGGGGTTTGGTTCTCAATCATGTTTTCGCCCCTTCTTTCACAACCTTTTTGATGTGGCCTTCTTTCTATGATTAGTCATGGGAGGTCTGTTCTGCCAGTCTTCTGTCATTTTCAGAGTTAGTCACATAGTATATTATCTCAGTGTGTCCACATGGATGAGGTGAGCTCAGGATCCTCCCACCTTCCCAAGACTTCCTGAGTTTGGCCTTTTAAAATTCCAAATATAAATGATATTACACAGTATTTTTTTCTCTAACTTATTTCACTCAGCATAATGCCTTCAAGGTTCATCCAAGTTTTGCAAATGGCTGGATTTCCTTCTTTCTCATTGCTGAATATTCCTTTTTATATATTTATCACATCTTTCTCCATTCATCTATTGACAAACACTTGGCTTGTTTCCATAGCTTGGCTATTAAAAATAATGTGGCAGTGAACTTGGGATGCATATATCTCTCCCAGATTCTATTTTCATTTCCTTTGAATACATACCCAGAGATTACATTACTGGATCATATGATAGTTATTTTTAATTTTTAATGAATCTCCACACTGTTTTCCATAGTGGCTGCCCCAATTTACATTTCTACCACCAGTTCACAAGTGTTTCCTTTTCTCCACATCTTTGCCAACACTTGTTATTTCTTGTCTTTCTGATGAAAGCAATTCTAACAGGCATGAGGTGATATCTCACTGTGGTTTTGATTTGCATTTCTCTGACAATTAGTGATGCTGAACACCTCTTCATGTACCTGTGGTCGAATTATATGTTCTCTTTGGGAAAATACTCAATTCCATTGCTGACTTTTTAATTGGTTCATTTTCTCTCTATTGTGTTGTATCCATTCTTTATATATTTTGAACATCAACCCTTTATCAAAAACATAATTCACAAATATTTTCTCCCATTCTA